AAAGGGAATATAGTATAAAAGTAAAGAGAGTTTACTCAAACTAAACAAGGCATTGGTCAGACCACAGATGGAATACTATGAGCACTTTTGGGGCCCCTCATCCAAGGCTGGATATACTGGCATAGGATGCAGTCCAGAGTAGGTTAGCTAGGCTGATTCCAGGAGGGATTGTTTTATGAGGAGACTTTAAGTAGGTTGGACCTGTATTTGTTGGAATTTAGAAGAATGAGTGACAACCATTTTAAACGTACAAGATTCTTAGAGGACTCGATAGGGTGGATGTGGAAAGGCTGTTTTCTCTTGTGAGAGAGTCTAGAACCAGAGGGCATAAGAGGTTGCACATTTAAGACAGAGATGAGAAATCAGATGTAAAGGCTGAGTTGTTCAGTATATCCGGGGGTGCCGAGTTGGACAGATTTTTAATCTATAAGGGGTTCAAGAGTTATGGAGAGGGGGAAGGCAGGAAAGTGGAACTGCGGGTTATCAGATTAGTCCATTGAATGGCAGAGAAGCATCGATCGCTGAATGACCTACTTCTGCTCCTACATTTTGTGGTCATATGATGGAGTGGGCAGGTATTGAAATTCAGTTCAATCCAATCCAGAGAAGTGTGAGGTGATACATTTTTGGTAGCAAGACCATGGAAAGACTCTAAAGGGTATGCAGGGCAAGAGACCTGGGTATATATGTACATAAGTTATTAAAAATGGCAGGACAGGTGGAGACCAATAATAAGCGTACAGCATTTTGACTTTATTGGGGCCATATAGTACAAGAGCAAGAAGGTTATGCTGAACCCATATAGGACTGTAGTTAGACCCAGTTGATGTATTATGTCTACAAACAAGGTTTTAAGGCATAATGATGACAGCTCTTTCAGGACTAAATTTGTGACTAACAACCAGTAAAGGTGCCGGCCCAACTTTATATTTAGTTTGTGTGTCAAGAATTATAAATGAAAGGGAAGGGTTTGGCTTCTAATCCAGCAGTAATCTAATTATTCTATTATTCTTTCATTATCATCTTACTACTCATTTCTGCTGGTACATTTTGTCTTTGCATAAATTGCCACTTTTTGTTTAATACAGTGTATGATTGCATAAGGTAATTAATAAATTACCTCAGAGTAAAAGATTCTCTAGGAAATAGTGACCATGACATGATAGAATTCAATATTCAGGTTAAGTTCCTTTGGAACTCCTTACCGCAGAGAGTTGTGGGGTCTGAGTCCTCGTGTATATCCAAGGCTGAGATAGATAAGGGAATCAAACATTAATGGGAAATGGCAGGAAAGTGGACGTATGGACTGTTGCATCAGCCATGATCCTATTGAATGGCAGAGCAGACTCAGTGGCCAAACGGCCTACCCCATTTCCAATATTTTATGGTATAATGAACATAAATAGGCCATTCAAGTCAACCAGTCAATGTCAGCATTTTTGAACCAGTTGAGTCTCCTTTAATTTTTTTATCATTTAAATATATCACTTTAATGATCTATTTCTTTCTCCTTCATTGTTGTCTTGCTCACCTTTAATTCAGCTGTACTATTTACTTCAATACCTCCTTGGTAGCGAATTCCATATTATTGTCTATCTTTGTGTGCAGAAGTTGAACTCCCAGTTCGTTTATCGTTGACTGTGAGATTGATGTCCACTAGTTATGTTCTTCCCTACAAGAGGGAATATGCTACCTCTGTATAAACATTTTGTAATTTGATTTCCCGTTCTCTCTCTCGCGATAGTGATTTCTATCCCATTATACTCCAAATTCTCAAAAAGTGTTGTTGCCAAGAAAAACATAACAAAAATATGGCCCACTTGAACTTTAATGAACTGAATGTGTCTCTATACTTTAACTTAGTCTATTTTCATTATACTTTCAGGAAATATGCATATCATTGGCATCCAGAATTATTTGTCAATGCCTCATCACCCTTGAGAAGGTGATGGTGAGCTGAAATCTTGAACATCTAGTTCATCCAGTGCAGATAGATTCCCAGTGTTACCAGAAAGGGAATTCCTGGTTTTTGACCGAGTGGCAGTGAAGTAACAGGGATATTGTTACAAGTCAGGACACTGTGACCTTGAAGAGAATTTCCAAGTGTCTGCTACCGTTGGTTTTTGAGTTAGTAGAAGTCATGGGTTTGAGAGATGTTGAAGGACCTTTACAAGGTGCTTTGGTGCATCTTATATATGATATGCACTATTGTTGTGCACTCCTGATGAAAATAGCAGATATGCCAGTCGAATGAAAACACAAAGAACTGCAAATGCTGTAAAACAGGAACAAAAACAGAAGTTGCTGGCAAAACTCAGCAGGTCTGGCAGCATCTCTGAAGAAGAAATCAGAGTTAACGTTTTGGGTCTGGTGACCCTTCCTCAGAACTGATGGTAGCTGGGAAAACATCGCTTTGTATGCAGAAAGTAGGAGAGGGAGCGGGAGGGAGTTGGGAGTAAATTATAGGATAAAGATAGAGCCTGAAGAAAGACAAGAGCACTTTGATAGACAAAGGAGTTGATAACGATCTGGCTAGGAGGGTGAACAGCTGTTTATGGGGACTGTTAGTGACTAACAATAAGCAGTGTGTAATGGCAGGCTATGCAATAACAAGACCTGGTAGGGGACTAGGACACGGGAGAGTTTTGGCCCTAAAATTATTGAACTTTATATTGAGTCCTGAGGGCTGCAGGGCCCCCAAGCAGAAAATGAGGTGTTGTTTCTCCAGCTTGCGTTGAGCTTTGCTGGAACACTGCAGCAAACCAGAGATAGGGATGTTGGCCAGGGAACAGGGTGGTGTGTTAAAATGGCAGGCAACTGGAAGCTCAGGGTCTTTTTTTGTGAGCAGAACATAGATGTTCTGCGAAACGGTCACCCAGTCTACGCTACATTTCCCCAATGCAGAGGAGGCCACATTGTGAGTAGCGAATTCAGTAGCCTAGATTCTGGGAAGTGCGGATGAAGTGTTGCTTCACCTGGAAGGTATGTTTGTGTCCTTGGATATTGGGTAGGGAAGAAGTAAATGGACAGGAGTTGCGCCTTCGCTGGTTGCAGGGAAAGGTGCCTTGGGGCTGTAAGGGGATGTTGGGGTGACGGAAGAGTGGACCAGGTGTCCCAGAGGGAATGGTCCCTGCAGAAGGCGGCCAAGGGAGGGAAATATGTGTCTGATGGTGGCATCTCGTTGGAGGTGGCGGAAATGGCATCTGATGATCTTCTGGATGTGGATGCTGGTGGAATGGTATGTAAGGACGAAGGGAACCCTATCGTTGTTACGGGAGGGAAGAGAGAGGGTGAAGGTAGAAGTGCGGGAGATGGGTTGGACCCAGTTGAGGGCCCTGTCGACAATGGTGCTCAGGACTCCTTGGTTGAGGAAGAAGGTAGACGTTTTGGAGGCTTCCTTGTTGAAGCTGGCCTCATCTAAACATATGCAACGGAGATGGAGGAACTGAGAGAGTGGGATGAAGTTTTTACAGGGAGCAGAATGTGAGGTTGTATAGTCCAGGTACCTGTGGGAGTTGGTGGTTTATAGTGAATATCAGTGGCCAGTCTATCTCCAGAAATGGAAACAGAGATTTTGAGGAAGTGAAGGAAGGAGCCGGAGATAGACCAGATTAACGTGAGGGCAGGGTGGAAATGTTTGATTATGTTTCCAATTTCCATCCTGCAACAGCGATAGGGTTCCTTTGTCCTTACCTACCATCCCACCAGCATCCACATCCAGAAGATCATCAGATGCCATTTCTGCCACCTCCAGCGAGATGCCACCACCAGCCACATATTCCCCCTCCCCTCTTTTGTCCGGCTTCCGCAGGGACCATTCTCTCTGGGGCACCCTGGTCCACTCTTCCTTCAACCCCAACAACCCCTCTCATCCTCACGCACCATCCCCTGTAACCGGCGAAAGTGCAACACCTGCCCATTTACCTTTTCCCTCCCCAGAATCCAAGAGCGCAAACGTACCATCCAGCTGAAGCAACACTTCATCTGCTCTTCCCAGAATCTAGTCTATTCATTCGCTGCTCACAATGTGGTCTCCTGTATAATGGGGAAACGAAGCATAGACTGGGTGATTGCTTCGCCAAACATTTACATTCTTCTCGCAATAAAGACGCTGAACTTCCAGTTGCCTGCCAGTTTAACACACCACCCTGTTCCCTGGCCAACATCTCTGTCTCTGGCTTGTTCCAGCGAAGCTCAACGTAAGCTGGAAGAACAACACCTCATTTTCCACTTGGGGACCCTGCAGGCCTCCAGACTCCATATCGAGTTCAATAATTTTAGGGCCTAAACTCTTCCATATTCTAACCCCCTACCCCACACACCAGGCCTTGTTATCACATAGCCTGCCATTGCACACTACCTATTGTTAGTCACTAACAGTCCCCATTAACAGCTATTTACCCTCCTAACCAGATCGCTATCAACTCCTTTGTCTATCCAGCTGCTGTTCTCTCTCTTTGGGCTCTATCCTTTATCCTGTCATTTACTCCCTACTCAATCCTCCTCCCTATTTTCTACACATGAAGCGACATTTTCCCAGCTACCATCAGTTCTGAGGAAGGGTCACCGGACCCGAAACGTTAAATCTGATTTTATCTTTACAGATGCTCCCAGACCTGCTGAACTTTTCCAGCAACTTCTGTTTTTATGCCAGCCAAGTGAGTTGTTCCGTCCAGAATGGTGTCAAGTTTCTTAAGTATTGTTGGACCGGGACTCATCCAGGGAATTGGTGAGTATTGATAAGCCTTGTAAATGATGGATAGATTTTGAGTTAATAGGTGAGTTATTCACTGCAGAATTCCCAGTCACTGGCTTGCTCTTGTAGCCACGGTATTTATATGGCTGGTCCAGCTCAGCCTCTCGTTAATAATAACCACAAAAGATGTTGATGTTGAGGCGTTTCTCTTCTATTAATACCTTATGGAGTAAATCCTAAATCCTCCAGTTTTGTTGAATTGTAAACACAGCAAAAATTAAAGTGTTCGCAATATCCTTTCCAGGTAAGGAGATAGCTATGGATGCAGTTAAACTGGGTCCCCAGAGTGCTGATAGCCACATGTGGTAAGTCTGAATAACCCCACAACAAATTATGAATACTCATTGTGTCTCTGTCATGTTATTACTTGCTACAAAATTCTAGATCTCCAAACTTTTTCCATGTACCTGTCTGTTTGAGGTCATGTTCCATAAGGTTTCGGAAGGTTTTCTTTGTCAAAATTGTTGTTACTGTGGCTAAAACCTGGAGTTTTACAGCACCATCCTTATAAGATCAGGTTATTATTTGGACTGTCATTTGATTCTGTTTGTAATAATTTTAACAAACATGATATCTTTTGAAGTAAAGACTGGACTAGTTTTAAAACTGATTTTGAAATAAATAAAAACCGAAAGAACTGCGGATGCTGTAAGTCAGGACAAAAACAGATGTTGCTGGGAAAGCTCAGCAGGTCTGGCAGCATCTGTGAAGAAAAAATCAGAGTTAACGTTTTGGGTCCGGTGACCCTTCCTCAGAACTGGCCAGTTAATGTTAACCCTGATTTTTTTTCTTTACAGATGCTGCCAGACCTACTGAGTTTTTCTAGCAACTTCTGTTTTTGAAATAAGTAATGTGGATAATTAAAGCAACATTGCTGTGCTACTGCATATCATTTTCCTGATGATTTGTTGTAAAGCAATATAGGCAATTAATTTAGTTCCGCATTGTTAAAGTGAGTAGCAGGGATGCATTTCGGGGAAGGTAGATAATTAAATGAGAAACAAAAGAATAGCAAGTCCCGACCTGACACATCAACTTCCCTGCTCCTCTGATGCTGCCTGGCCTACTGTGTTCCTCCAGCTCCATACTGTGTTGTCTGTGACTCCAGCATCTGCAGCTCTTGCTATCTCTGATCGAGTTATGTTCGTAGGTTTAGGATATGGAGCATGAAAAGCAGACTAGACCACTCATGCTGCATTGCCTGGAATTGTACTATAAATATTACTTAAGATTGCAGAGGATATAAGACGTAGAAGTCGTGTTGTGTTATTAGGTTTGTTTGTTAGAATTTCTGTAGCTGTGGTTCAAGTCTAGAATTTTACAAAATACTTCCTGTGAGATCAGATTACACAATGCCGGTATGTATCCTCCACTCTAGTCTCCTTCTCAACTACATCTGCCATTGTAACTATCTATTTCCTTTTCCCTCAAATGGTTTGTCTAGCTGCCCCTTAAAAGTTTCTGTACTGATAGCCATTTAAGGTGCAGAATTTGAATATTGCTGAAAAAAAGGCAAATTTTGTTGTCATCTTTTGTCTTGCCCTCATCAAGACATTGTAAAAAATACCAAAGTATAGGGCAACAGCATTTTATACTGAGAAACAAGGTGTAGAGCTGGATGAACACAGCAGGCCAAGCAGCATCAGAGGAGCAGGAAAGCTGACGTTTCGGGTCGAGACCCTTCTTCAGAATGTTGTTTGTTTTTTTACCAGGATGTTGCTGGATACAGAAGGTTTGAGTTATAAAGAAAAGTTGATATGCTGGGACTTTTTTCTCTGGAGCATAGGAGGTTGAGAAGCGACCTGATAGAAGTTTATAAAATAATGAGGGTTATAGATAGAGTTAATGGTAATTGTTTAAAGTTTTTGAGAAGATTTGTAGCTCGTGTTGTGGATGAGGTTGTAGACTTGCTTGCCGAGCCAGTGTGTTCGGTTGCAGATGTTTCATCACTGTGCTAGGTAACATCGTCATTGTGCCTCTGGTGAAGCGTTGGTGTTCTGCCCTGCTTGTTATTTATATGTCTCGGTTTGCTGGGTGGTCAGCATCACTTCCGGTTCTGCTTTTCGATGGTTTGTATATCTGGTCCAGTTCATTGTGTCTGTTGATGGAGTTCCGGTTGGTATGCCAGGCCTCCAGGAATTACCTGGCATGTCTCTGTTTGGCTTGTGCTATTATGGATGTATTGTCCCAGTCGAATTTGTGTCCTTCTTTGTCCGTGTGTATTGAGACCAGTGTCTCTGGTTGTCTCTTGGTGGCTAGTTGGTGTTCGTGTATCCTTTATTGTCAGTTTTCTTCCTTTTAGATATATAGTATACAGAAAGACCACACATACGGACCAGATACTTAATTACTCCAGCAACCACCTCAGCACCCATAAGTGGAGCTGGATCAGGACATTATTCAAACTGGCCACAACACACTGCAGCAATCCGGAATTTTGCAAAGCAGAACAGAAGCACTTATTCTTAGTTTTTAAAAGAATGGATATCCAAAAAGCACAATCCGCCATTACCTCCGCAACAGACCACAACAAGAAGACCTGACACGGCCAGACACACCAGTCACCCTACCATATATCAGGGACATTATCAGGGATGACTACAAGACTACTCAGACTCCTAGGTATCAGGGTAGCCCACAAACCCACAACCACTCTGTGACAGTTACTGACTATTGTAAAGGATCCCATACCCACAACCAGTAAAACTAACGTAATATACAAAATACAGTGCAAGGACTGTGAAAAACATTATATCGGCCAAACTGGAAGAAACCTGACAGTAAGGATACACAAACACCATCTAGCCACCAAGAGACACGACCAATACTCACTGGTCCCGATACACACAGATAAAGAAGGACACAAATTCGATTGGGACAATACATCCATAACAGCACGAGCCAAACAGACATGCCAGGTAATTCCTGGAGGCCTGGCATTCCAACCAGAACTCCATCAACAAATACATTGAACTGGATCCGAAATACAAACAACTGAAAACCAGAACCTGAAGTAATGCCGACCACCCCAGCAAACCGAGGAGTATAAATAACAAGCAGGACAGAACATCAACGCTTCACTGGAGGCGCACTGATGATGTTACCTAGCAGGATGATGAAACGTCTACAACTAAACACGCCGGCTCGGTGAGCAAGTCTACAACCTTAATGGTAGTTGGCTTTTCCCTAGGATGGGGAATTTCAAGACATATGGGTCACGTTTTTCAAGGTGAGTGGAGAGAGATTTAAAAAAGACATGAGGGGCAAATTTTTTTTTACACAGATGGTGGTTCGTGTGTGGAATAAACTTCCTAAGGATATAGTGGATGTGGGTACAATTACAACGTTTAAAAGACATTTGGATAAGTACATGAATAGGAAAGGTTTGGAGGGATATGGGCCTGGAACAGGCAGGTTGTACTAGTTTAGTTTAGGATTATGTTTGGCTTGGACTGAAGGGTCTGTTTCCATGCTGTATGACTATGACTCTATAAACAGAAATTGCTGGAGAAACTCAGCAGGTCTGATAGCATCTGTGGAGAGAAGTCAGAGTTAACGTTTTGGTCCAGTGACCTTTCTTCAGAATCTTCTGTCATTTTCCGATGTTAAACTGAGCAATCTTTAATTCCTTCAATCTTTTATGTTCTTAATGTGAAAATGGACATTAGTGATCTGCATATTTTTGCTAACAAAATATTAAGTGTGAGTAGCAATGCCACTAATTTCTGGATTATGTTGAAATAGATAAAATCCTCTGTACCAGTGGCTTTGTCCTCTTATTTATTGAATTAATTTGCTAGTTTTTAATAAAATTTAAAACACCGTTATCTCATTGCTGTTCAATATGATGTCTACTTGTTCTATCTCCCAGTAAATATCAAAGTAGAGTAATTATCTACCACCTCTCTGGTACCTATCATGTTATCTAGTCCTATTCCTGTTGCAACCTTTTGTGTGTGTGCTATTTTGTTTCTTGATGATTCGTTCCTCTATGTTGTCTTAATTTTTTTTACTTTGATCCAAATTTGACCACATTGTCTCTTATTTACTCCTCTGTTTGATGTCTTTTTCTTAGTCCTCTTTCTGCCTTATTTTATGTAAGCCTCTTTCCTGACTCATGATTGTTTCTTTTTATCTGCTAGACTCACACTAGCACTTCATTTTTTTTTCCGTTCAGCAGAATGTATTTTTCTTGTACACTTTTAAAAACTGTTTTAGATCATCATGATCTGGATAGCTTACATGTACTACTTACATTCACCTCTTTTGCGTAATGTTTTGCAGGAATGCATTGCTAGATGGGGAACCTTTTCTTTCCTATTGTGTTCGCATTCTCCTCATTCGTGCCAAATTTTATGTTTCTTCATTCCTGGGATGTGGGCAATACTGGCTGGACCAGTTTTTCTTGCCCATCTCTAGTTGCTCAAGAAAACGTAGTGAGTTGCCTTCTTGAACTGCTGATGTCAATGCAAGTTGTTAATAGGGAGCTCCAGAATTTTGACCCAGTATCACTGGGTCTACTCTAGCGCCTCGCAATGCTTTGTGAGTTCTTACATGAACTGTGCTTTTAAAAACAGAAAGAACCTAGAGCATGGAGTTTCTTCACAATGCTACTTAATTATATGCAGTGCACCTGCAACTCAGTAAGGTCAAAGCAGTGCAGAAGCCACTTGTGCCATGCTGCTATAGAAATGAGTTGGATATATGAATTTTACACGACTTCCAACTTCTTTCAGTTGGGCTTGGTCAGCTTGGTCTTTGCAGTCAAAGTTCAAGGCAGATTAATTTCCAATTTCACCAATTTTACTGAAATACTTTATATCATTACATACTTATTGTAATATTAGGATATCTGTGTACCTGCATAGTTTAGGTATGAGGGCATGTTCATACCCTTCAAGAAAAATTACTGGTATTTTGAAAAGAAAACTCTCAGTTTAAGATATAAAAAAAGCACGACTTCATTCACCTTGAAGATCTGGAGAGAATTTTAGCCTAGTTAGTATATACTCTTGCCCTCCTGATCAAGAATGTAATGTAATTGTTGCTGAAATATACATTAGTGGATCAAAACATAATATTTTAATTTCTCGGGAGTAGTGTGCCCTTGTGCTTTTGATCATAATTGTTGCTATGTTCCTGGTTTTAACATTTTGCAGACCTGTCCAATGTCGGCCTGGTTACACTTACCCCTAGAATGGCTTACCTCCAACTTCTCATATAAGTAGTCACTGTCTCTACTTCAACTGTGATTAACTATTAAAACATGACGTGACCTTAAAAAGACATCAATTCCTCATTTGAC